TTTTTTTGCTTTGCAGAGAACGGGGCTCCCCAAGAACTGAAGGCAGGTAATTTGAAGCGCAGCCGAATGAGCTGAACGCGCCCGTTCCTCCTTCTTCTTAAGGACCTGTGTGCTTGTATTTTTGCAATCTTTCGCCGGCGTATAGAAGCTTCCGAGACACGACCGAGGCACGCTGACCCGTTGAGAGGAAACACTTTCGACCGCGGTAATAGTCGTCGACTGGAAAAACGCTGTCAAACTCCGGGAGAGGAGAACAAACAGTAACCTTCTGCCAGACGGTCAGCCTGCCTCGATCGTTCCGCTGTTCCATCGCGAGCGTTTCTCCCCGCTCGACCAAATTTTCGATTTCGCTCAATTAAATTTCATTTTCTTTCTCTATCGTTCGGCGAGAGGCAAATTTCTAAATTTACGACTAAATAACTTCGCGGAGAGCGCGGGAGAGACGCCGGCGATTTCACACTTTACTTTTGGCCGCCAAAAATAACTCATGCTTTCGAGGAGAATTCTCTAAAAGGAAAAAATAAAAATAAAATAAGAATAAAAAAAAAAAAAAAGAAAAACAAGAACTCTGTCGCGACGCGGACAGAAGAAATCTCTTTGTAAACTCGATATATATATATATATATATAAAAACAAAACGGAAACATATCGTGAAGCATGCGGATCAAGTCTCAATCTTAATTTACAGTGCGGCACTCTTTTTAAAAAAGAAACCAAAGTCGAAGCTTTCATACAAACGCTTTACTAGTCTTTACAGGCACACTAAACTCGCGCGACAGCTACGCCATCTAAATCTGCTCCTCCCGTTGTCAATCAAATATGCGCAAACACACGCGTAAAAGTTACTGACTATTCATTTAAGAAAGAAAGAAAAAAAAAAAAAAAAAAACACTGCGACGCATCATATTATTATCGTGCGCGCGTGTGCAACAGTTCGAGCAGATCGATTTGGAGGGTCGACGCCGTCGCGTGACACTGTTTTCTTTTTTTTTTTTCTTTTTCTTTTTTAATTAACTAAAAAATTAGTGGAAGCCAACCAAAACCAGGAGTTACCATAAAGGCGTGGGTAGCGAGAAGTTGCTGCTGGATTTGCTGTTGAAGGTGATGGTGTGGTGCCGGAGGTGCCGGTGCCTCCTGTTCACCAATGACGTAATTGGAGAACACACCAACAATCAACCACAACCACGAGAGCCACAGCGGCAAACATAGGGGACAGACAGGCAGTCATACGAGTAGTATAGGGTTCGATGTCACGTAGCAACGACTATGAATTATTATGTCATGAAATAAAAAAGGCGAGTGGGCGTAATTATGATGGTTTGATTTCTTGGTAAAGAAAAAAAATAAAAAAATAAAAAAAAAAGAGAAAAAAAAAAGATATCGTTTAATCGCCGAGTTGTCACTATTCTGGGGGAGAATAATTATACGTGTGAAGTTCGAGGACGAACTTCATCGTCGTTTTTTTTTTTTTTTTTTATGTATTTGCACGTGCACGCATTCGAAAGAGAAACATCTTCGTTAACCCCTTGCCTTGTAATGTCAAATGGCAATGTAATTAACAAGGCTGAACGCAACGAAATTTAAAGAGAGACGCTTCTTTTCGATTTGCAAGTCGATTGTTTCTAGAATTTAATTTCCAAGATCGACAATGTTTGCTGTTATATTTCGTTCAATCTAGTTGCTCAATTGATAATCGAGCTAAGAAAAAGTTGCTAGGCAAGGGATTAAACCGTTTCTTTTTAATCTGATTTGACTTTTGAACAAACAATGATTGGGGGTAGATTTTGTGGATTCGCCAAGAGGCGTAACATTGTGACTGAGAGAGAAAGAAAGAGAGAGAGAGAGAAAGAGAAAAGAAATGCATTGACGAACCAACAAAATAATCGTATGCACTTTTAATTTACAATCGTGGTATTCGTCGGCATTCTAGGAGTACTAATAACAATAACTACGATCTCGTTTCTATTTAGCAATTTCATCTTTCAGTAAGTATGTAAATATTGACTGTCTATCGAGAATCATGGATAAAATCAAAGGAACAAGGGGGTGACACTGACCAAAAAACATGCGGCGTGCTAAAGTTTACTCTCTGAGGTTTTATCTTTCGGTGCAATGCCCGCAAATATAAAGAACGTAGGTAAATGAAGACGATCAGGCGTGCTGGGCGTACGCACTCCAAAACGAGTGACGTGTACCTGGTTTAATAATTTCTAGAAAAATATTCAACTTCGCTCAATCGTTCGAGATACGTTCAAAAGTTCAATCGTGAAAATCTGACATGTGAAAATTTATGCGCGTGTGATAAAAATAAAATTTCTGATTGAGTGTTCCAGTCAGAGGCGAAGGTATTAATTTCGAAACACCCGATCGTTGGCCATTTACACGGCGTTACCTACCAAAAGAAAAAAAAATATATATATATAAAAAAAAAAAAAAAAAAAGAAAGGGTAATCTAGTGGTAGTCGTCGACTAACACAGACAAAACTCAATATCTCTCGATCGTGGTAAAAAAAAGAAAAAAATGTGTGGATGTGTGAACAGCAGAAGACGTGGTGCAACGAATGTGTTAAAGTTCGGACATACCACTGCTGGTACCTGGCCAGGCACTAGCGGCTGGGCCGGTGTGAGGCCCATCTGCTGCATCAGCGCATTCTTCAAAGCTAAATGATTACGCCCGTTTATCAAAAGCTGGTCCTTCAGGTGCTGCGGTGGATGGAAATATTTGCACGGCGGCTTTTCCCGATTACATCGGCCCTGCAACCAAGAATACAATCGATTTTATTATAGATGGACTATGTCTAAACATTATTATATATAATTAATATGCTTTTACAATTATATATATATATATATATATATATATATATATAAAATTTGTTATAATTGTATATATTATATTTATAACGCAATAATAAATCTACGACATGGTCCACGTTTAAATATTATTACGTATAATTAATTTTACATTAGATACAATCGATATACACTTTTATAATTGTATATATTTAATACGATAATTGATACAATTTTAAAACGTAATTATGTATATCATATTATCGATACATTCTTCTTGCTTCCATTTTTGACACACCCCTCTAGGATAAAGAATTATCATCGATAAGAGAAAACGAGATCCGAGGGTGGCGCGAAACTAACAAGAAACCTTAACGCTAGGAAATTCCTCTTCGGGACGTACAAGGACACTCGGAGCTGGCACGAGTGGCACAGGAGCGCGATTAAACGCAATTTTAATTACCAACCGCCCACCCTCCTCCCCGTCGTGAACGATATTCCCACCGAAAGGTCCACACCATTACGCGCGTGTGTCTTACGCGCGCGCGCAGCCAGGCTGCAATTTGTCCGTAAGTGAAATACGCTCACGTACAAGTGGTTTGTAATGTAGCTAATATCGAAAGCTGCGCCTTCCCCTCGCTTTCCGGATTTTCCGCCCTCTCGCAGCGTGCCTTAACACGATTTCAGCCGCCTGTGCGCGCCGTCGCGCGAGTAAGTGGTGTAACGAAAGGAGAAAAAAAAAAAAAAAAAAAACAGGGGAAAAGAGAGCAAAATACAGTCTCGAATTCTCAATTCAATTGCATTTTACGACTCTTTGAAAAGGAACGAAGGAGAGACGCGAAACCGACGATTTGCCGCGTAATACCGCACGGTGTTTCGTCCGGATTCGAATAAGCTGCTTTCAAGCGGGCACGTTACAATCTCGGCAACCACCGCCGCGGAAATGTAGGTGGAAATCAGAGATGAATAAGTAGGTCGATACAGACGTAATCCCCTATTCACGGGGGACGAGCCTCGTTCACACAGGGACACACGTCCTCCCGTTCGCAAATGAGCGTATGTACACTCGTTGAAAACGCGCGTCCCGCTTGAGTCGCTCATTCCGCTTCGTTGTAAATCGCTTCGATTCACGCCGCAAAACGGAACACCGATGGCCCTTTTTTTCACAACGATAATTCTCAATTCGACCGATCATCGTTGAATCGATCGAGGTTACATCGAGTAACTCTGTCTATGTCTTTGCATAGACATTCTTCTTTAATCTCTTGCGCTGGAAATGACGTACCACGCGCGTCGAGAATTTTCTGTTTCAAAATTGCAATATTTTCTCAGCTTCAAGGATATTTAAGTAAAACAAAACAGGCAAAACAAATAATAAATTTATTACTTCTCAGTAATTAATAATTTCTACCCAGTGATGTCATACCGACGAGTTCAAAAAGAAAACGACAAATTATTGTATACGGTTCGGTCGCTCGTTATGGTCCGCAATCAGTTGCAAGTGGTTAAGGATACCTACAAGTAATCTTTCTTTGACACTGTAGAAAATTTTATTTTATTTAAAAGTTAATACGGCTTTAATCTGTAATATAATTTAACAATAAACACACTAAATGTCAATGTATTTAATTAGAATATAGGTTATATTCATAACATAGGTTATGTTATAACATAACATGTTATAATAAGTAAAATTATTTAAGTAAAACAAATAATAAATTTATTACTTCTCAATAATTTCTATCCAGTGACATCATACCGACGAATTTTTTAAAAAAAAGCGCCGAATTATTGTATACGGTTTGGTCACTCGTTATGGTCCGCAATCAGTTGCCAGCGCAAGTGATTAAGGATACCTATATAGGTAATGTCGTTTCTGACACTGTAGAAAATTTTATTTTATTTAAAAATTAATATGGTTTTAATCTGTAATATAATTTAACAGTAAACACACTAAATGTCAAGGTATTTAACTAGAATATAGGTTATATTAGGCATAACATAGGTTATGTTATACATATTATAGTATAACATGTTATAAATAAGTAAAATTACATATTTAAGTAAAACAAATAATAAATTTATTACTTCTCAATAATTTCTATCCAGTGACATCATACCGACGAATTTTCAAAAAGAAAGCGCCGAATTATTGTATACGGTTTGGTCACTCGTTATGGTCCGCAATCAGTTGCCAGCGCAAGTGGTTAATAAGACCCTTCCCGGAGTTTCCAAACAGAGAGGGGAGAAATGAGCGAGAAGGATGGAAAATTGGTAGAAGAGGCAGGAGGAAGAGAGAGGGAGAGAGAGAGAGAGAACAAGGTCAGACGGTGTCACGATGGTACTAATTAGACCCTAACAATATTAGTTCAGGTAAGACGTCTAGGATGGCGGTAAGGTGGGATAACAGCAGCCGGTAGGCAGCTCCCGTGCTTTCTTACGGGAATCCAGTGGCTTTCCATAATAGCAGCTTGCAAGCGTGAAACCGAGTCTCGGAGGGGTGAGCTGAGTCGGTTGAAGGGACGCCTCCTCAAATATCGCCTAATTAAGCACATTCGAGAGTTTGGAGGAATAATGTGTACCAGCTAGCTTTCGAGAAACTTTCGACCCACTCTGAGAACGCAATTGCCCCTCATCTTTCCCTCCCTGTCCCTCTGCATCACTCCTTGTAAGCTTTTGCTTATACCTTACGTGTTCCTACGTATTCTCTATCGATGTTTCTCGAGATTTCTCCTCCCTTAACTCCACTCGATTTATTTTCAATGTTGTTGGGTTGACGAATTTTATATTCGTCGAATAGTATTCAGTGTTATATTTATATGCATTTGCAAATATATGTATGTAGTTCAAGTACATATAACTATATATACATAATAGATATATAACTATGTATAACTGTGTAACTATATGCATAAATATATTATATAAATAACTATAAATTTATATTGAATGTATAACTATATACATAGCAGATGTTGAGAACTTTTTTTTTTTTTAACATTGACGAACAAATCACATGTAATAATTATCTCAATATGGAAAAGCTGTCATTTTTTTATATTTTGTAAGTTTGATCCTGTCTGAAACTTTTATTTTCAAAAAGTTCTATGATCCATGTTTCCAAACCTAATCTAACCTAAACCTTCCGAGAGAAGATTCGAATTTTCGCTTGGGCCCTTGCGACGCGCATTTATTTTACAACGCGCGCGAATCGACGGTTGTGGAACCAAAATGATGATGTTCCGCAAATACTCCGCTCCGCTCAGCCATTAAACGTTTGGCAAACTTTCGTGAAATATCGCGTGATGCACGGCCCACCAATTAATTTCAGGACGCGCCATCTTGCGAAAGATTCCCTCGTTCGGTGTGGCGAACGCAATCCTTGCGACCGAACGTAATCTTCTTCGATTGCCGCCATGAAACGCTGGGCCCCGCTTCTGGTCCCGTTTGCCAGCCAGCTTTCGCCCCGGCGCTGGTTTCAACTTAATAATAAACAGAGGAACGCATTATCGTCGGCATGCAAATAACGGCAGTTTCCTTGGAATTTAAGGCGAGCGTATATTTTAGGCGGTGCAAACTGGCGCGAGCGTAGTATTAAAGTTGATTTAAAGGGTCTACTGATAAGAAACAGCATTCTCCGGGGAGCCATGCGAAATGCTTCTCCCCTCCTAATTTTAATGAAACTTTAATGATATTTAGAGGATCTCTGGAGAGAAAGAGAGAGAGAGAGAGAGAGAGAGAGAGATACAGGGTGTAGCGAAAAAGGGATTTACCTACTAACCGGGGCACTTTGTGTATGCCTATTCCTACCGTGACCGGTCGAATAATTGCAAAAATTCAAACGTCTGTAAAAACACTGAAAAATGTTTTTCATAACTGGTCAAATAGTTGTAAAGGCTCGAAGAACGCCAAAAAAATATTTTTCGCAACTTGATGTAACGTGGTCTTGAAATTTCATCTTCGCAACGATCTCTCGAAACTTGCTGATTTTTTTCTTTCTTTTTTTGATCATTTTATTGAACGTTAAGTTTAATTGACTGAAATTTTAGAATCTTTTGAATTCTTGTTGGTTCAAAGTTTGGTTCAAAGTTCAATAAAACGAGTGGGAACTTATTATTGTACGATCTCTTTTTTACAAAATCATAACAGTTTCAATACTCAAAGAGTTAGAATATTGTGATGGGAGTCATTATAGAAAATATGGCGGACGACATCCACATTGTTCAATGTTATTTATAACTGCAAACGGGAAGATAATAAACATTTCAAGTACAACGTGAAATCGAAGATACGATGTACGATATTTAAAAATGTGAAAGGAACATTTCAATTTTCAAGACCACGGTGAATCGAATTACGAAAGAAATTAACATTCTTGCAGATTTTTATTTTTGCAGAAATTAACGTTCTTGCAATTTTCGAGAATGAAAGTACTCCGACTTTCCCACCCGATAATGAAAAATATTTTTGGCAGAGACAAAAACTTGGAACAGTCGAAACAGAAGCTTTATAAATGAGACCAAGTAGATTCATATATGTAATATTATTTCCTCTCACAAAGTTGCAACAGTTTAAATAATCGACAAGCTCAGTCATCATGTGCTCAATGATGCTCCTTACTTTAAACACGTGGACATTCATTCCCTTATTCATAAGACGTTCGAATTATTCATAAACAAACTGTTGGTTACAGAAACAAGGATGAAGGTGGAAGAGGTGAACCGAAGGTCACTGACAAATAACCTTTAACCGGCGATCATTCGTTCGTGGATAAATCATTGGCTCAAAGCAGCAGGCAGGTGTATCACCAGCGAAAAGAAGAAGAAGAAGAAGAAGAAAAGAAAAAAGTTTCCACTCAGAAAAGCGGCCAAGCAACTCGAACCTTTTAGCTGTTTCGACTTTCTGGCGTCGCTGACAGGGAGCCGCGGAAGAAAAAGAAGACGAAGGGTGCGAGATGAGGT